TATAGATATATATATAATGCCATAAAACATGTGCTACAGGATATGTATCACCTTGTGTATATGCATATTATATATGTTTATCATGAGTGCCACTCGGGGTGGAGGCTGAAATAAGCATTACGGGGATATATATATATATATATATATATTCTGCGCCAGTTCGCGGTTGTCAAGCTCAGAAACCAGAGGGCTTTTAAGCGCATCCAGATAGACAATGTTTGCATTGGACATGTACGTTGAGTGCTCCTGAGAATGTGACTGCAAATTTTACTCTTTGAAACATGAGCACCTTTCATCACTCGCGGTCGGTTCTGGGCACGCTTATTGGCCTGTTTACAATGGAACTGTTCCGCCATTGACGTTCTTACTTCGATTGGGGCGTAGGGAAATACTCCGCACTTTCAGCGAAATTCTACCGAGGTCACATGCAAACTTGGTAGTAGTACGGATCACTGCAAACACCAAACAGTTCAGTTTGTGGGGTATGACGTCATGAGTGACGTCGGACAGCATAGATATTACGTCGTCTGGTCGCCCCCAATGCACCCCAAAACCCCATACAAATGTGGAACAATTCCCGTAAATAAGCGAGATCCTCGCGCAGATTGAAGCGCGGTTGTTTGTGCCAGCACTGCCGGTGGTTACTCAGTTGACTGGAGGCGCAACACCGACCTTCGTGCCGTCCCTGCCACAGTGTTCACCGCATCATTGTGCGTCAAGGTCGGCGGGCCGGCATGCCGAGCTTCCGGCCGGCCGCCACCAGGGGCTGGAGCCGTCCGGCTCCGGCGCAGAACCGGCCGGTCGGGATTTCCACACATCGCCCCAGTGACGCGGGCTGGCGGGGGTGGCGCTGACGTGCCGCAGGAGGACGCCCCAGCCGCGAAGCGGACACCCGGGGCATTCTAGCGAGAAAGGCGGACCCGGCGAGTTGTTCTCTGAGTGGACGATCAGTGCTGTTCTTCGCTCAGGTCATTGCGAGGAGAAGTGGCATCTTTTGAACATGCTGCGTCGGTGGTAGAAGGTGGGGTGGTGATTCAGTCAGTATCGCAGTGACTTTTAGAGACGTGGTGTGATCTAGTGACGAAGATGCGCCTGAAGCGGTCGGGAGCGATGGGGCTATGTGCACTGTCGCTCGCTTTGTGTCTGCTGGGTCGAGCCTCCGCCCAGAGTGGTACCCTGCCTTCCGAGGACACAACCAACACCAGCTACGCCGCCTGCCAAGGTTCAGAAGCCGGGTTCTGCGTGCGCACCTGCTGTGCAAGAGGAGAAAATGTAATAAGCCGAGAATGCAAGCCCAGTCCGACAGATTGGGTGCCGAGCTTCCTTAATCAGTCGACGAATGCGAGTCTCGAAATTGTCGGAGGTTTTATCCAGGAATGCGAATTTGGCTCCGAACAGAAAACATTCAGTTACCACCTCGAACCGAACACAAAGTATCTGTTAAGTTCGTCTGGAGAGCTAGACGTGCAAACCGCTGAGAGGACCTATGCGCTGGGTATGAATTACTGCTTCTACAACGTGGAGCTGAGCGGTCAGATTTACGAGTCTGTGCGCAGCTGCGTGAAGATATCAGTGCCACAGGTGGCAGATCTGCCCAGCCTAGACAACGTGACAAATGTTTCCGTCCGCAAGTGTTGTCCGCCCGGCCATGCCATGAATGTGGGTGGCGGGGGCTCGGGCTTCCTGTGCGTGAAGCACTCCTCGCCCTGGCGGCCTGCGGTGATTCATGGCTATCCGACCCCAGCTGGCTCAGCTGCCAGCCGAAAAGACCGACAGTTCGCCTCCAATTAGCTTTCAGTGCCCCGATGACACCGTCCGTCAGTATCTAACATCGAGTTCCTCGCAGGGTGCATTCTTCTTGGAGTCCAACAGCTATCTGCTCCTGGAAAGCTACAATTTGCCTATCAAACCAGGTTTGTTCTGTCTGGATGACCTCCGAAGTCCCACATCATCACCCCAGCCCATCGCTGTCGTGTGTCATCCCATGGTAGAAGAAAGCACCGCAGAAGAGTTTGAAGCGCAGTGTCCAGGTGAAGTTTGCATCCAGAAATGCTGTGCTGCAGGCTTTCATCTGTTCAACACCACGTGCATCCCCACACAACTGCAATGGGAGCCGACGTTCTATGAGGGCGACGATCTGTTCATTGGTGAAGTTGCTCATACCGTTTTGTATGGGAAGACCAACTGTGAGGACGGCGATACCTTCATATTTAGCGAGAGATTGGGCGAGCTCGACGCTCCGTATGTACAGACAAACGGAAGGCTGCATGTGACAGGGCTTAACCTCACATTTGAGGCGCACCAGTGTTGCCTGGAATACGAGACCTACTACAACTTGAAGACACAGAGGAATGACATCGCTGAAATCGCTGTTTGTTGTTTTCCACATGACAAGGAAGCTGGGATCATGGCAGCCGTGAACAATGTTCTCCTTACCCTATCAGCGATCTGCCTGTTCGTCATGCTGGCAATTTACATGCTGGTGCCTGATCTGAGGAACATCCACGGAAGTGCTTGATGTCGCACGCTGCCGCGCTCTTCGTCGCCTTCTTCCTCACCGTCTACAACCAGCTTGCTCGCATTCCGCTTGGCGACAGCTGCGAAATTTTAGGTGAGCGCCACGCTGCCTATTTCATTGCATGCATTCATGCATTGAGAGTGTTCCAAGTTTATATATCTCTGTAAAGACGATGCTTCAAATTGGCATAGATGTAGACCATGCAATGTAGAAAAGTAAAACGGTAAATGCGTGGGACCAAGCGTTGTTTAACGTGTGTGATGTAAGCTCTCAAGGTATAAAAACATTGGCGGCCTATGTCTGCACGATCTGGTCACTATGACAGTAGTATGTCGGGTGTAGAAATCACGTGATACAAATAATTAAAGTTGTAACAAATATGCACCTGTTTTTCAATCCTCGACGTAGTGAGAAGTGCTTGATGATTGTAAATTATGCTTCCATACATACAATTTTTAACAACCAAATATTTGATTAAGTACAGGGGTCTCAACCGCAGGTTTTTCATTACGAGCTGGTAGCTTTATGTCAAACAATTGATCTTGTCACTCGCCACTCGTCGCTTTGGCTTATCGTTGCCACTCGTCTCTTGTCACTCATGGTAAAATATGGACAATATTTTCGCATTACTTATGGTCATTAGTGGTCTATCGCAATTATGGGCGAAGCTTCTAAATGTTAACCTTCCTGAATAAAGTCAACCGTTTGCTTGTCAACGTCGTTAAACCAGTGCCTGCGGGTGCAGTACAGTTGGGTTATGCTAAACACACGAATCCTCACTGTATGCGGGCTCCTACTTCATCTGGTAATCACGAACCTGCTAAAAAAGAGAAGCAAAATCAGTATAGTTTGGAAACCTTGATGCATTAAGATGGTGTTAGCGTCAACCTAATGGCCGCTGTACCGCCCCTTTTATAACCTCGCACACTCATTCAGAGCATGCCGTTTCTTGTAGTTCTCATTCGTAGGTGTGGCGGGCGGCGCTGTTGGCGCATCTTCTTGCCTTACGTTCGGCGTGGAGGCGCAGGAAGTAGGTACTAAGGCGCAGTCTGTTTGGTGCCTTCACATGCAAACAGCGCAGAGCCTGCCTGAATTTGTTCGGAAGTTCCCACGTCGGCATCGTTGTACAAATACGACGCTTGGTAGTCAATGACCTGTAACTTGGTGCTTTCCGTTGCCATGCTCACAGTGCTTTTCAACATTCTCAGGTATGTTGCTGTACTACTCGTTCATCGCTGCCCTCTTCTGGTTGAACGTGATGAGCTTCGACATCTGGTGGACCTTTGCGTAAGTATTTCTCCCGTGTGACGATATCTGACCGGATTGTCTGGGCTGCCGTGTTCAGATTATAGATAAATATCCGGACCAGATGGCCCTCGGCCGACTTGTCCCTGCCAAGTTCTCGCGCTCTAAACACTCGGGTAATGGTGCGCCTCTCGATGACCGAGAATTTCTTGATGGCAGTGCTTGCTGATCAAATATGCGTTCGAAGCTCTGGCCCCGTATGTAGGGGTATATGCGTATTCTCTCCAATCAGGGATAAATTAAATCAGTTTCAGGCAAATGGTGTGCATCAAAGCTCCCGTTTCATGAGAAAAAGATTAAGTAGACGGCTTTAACATTGTTTCTGAGATAAAATTCATCCATCGTCAAGCGTGCTTAGCGAGCTCAAAACCGCTATGAGTCACGGCCCAGACATTGCGAAGGTAAGCCTGCGTCCGCTCAACATTTTCGACGCACATTTTCGTAAACATCAGCTGACACCCCTTGCTCGCCTACGTAAATAAAACGCGTTGTTCGAGGCCACTTTCCGTAGCTGCGACAATATCCACCGGCCTTTCTGGAAAAAGCATTGGCGGAACCTTTCCTTGACAGGAAAATCGGAGGCTTCACTAATGGTATGACACAATTTACGCTGATCTGGGTATGAACAAGTAACGCATTGTCATAACTGTGAGTAAAAAGTGCTTCCCATGGGATCTGTGTTGCATGACCCTCTGAACTTTACCTAGCGTTTCTCGCGCAAAGCAGATATCAGTTCTTTGAAAGCGTTTGATTGGTGTGCTTTGATTGCTTGGTCTAGTGTGCTTTGATTGCTTGGCCGGATTCCATTGCTATGTGCTAAGCAGTTTTGTTCATCCCAACGTTGTGTTCATCTATTGAAAAAACGCGGATTATTGATTCTGATAAAAGAGAACAACATGCGGATATCGTATAAATCCTCTAGCAGTAATGCAGGAGAGTTGTCTTGACATCATACACCCTTTTGGTTCTGCAATCTTAATTTCACAACAAATTGATATTAGGTCGTGACTGAGCGCACCCCAATAAGTCAATACTACATCAAGGCCCCTGGCACCACATCAAATATTTGTGCTCTGCGGTACCTAGCAGCAGGTCGGATGTTGCTGACAGTTGTTTGGGGAAGCTCAGCTGGCGGTATTATGATCTGTTTACTGAGCGACTGTTACCCTGGAATCAATGCGAGACGCCCATGCCCTCCCTCTCCCCCCTACCCTCCCCCCCCCTCCAGTACGGAGGAGGTTTCCAGACAGCACACACGCATTCTCCCGGGAGTGAGGTCCCCCAGGAACGGCTTGAACTAATCAATGGTACGCACATTTTGCATATGGAAACGATCAAAGGGTGCGGAAGCCGATGATATCAGCATAAAACTAAGTCATGGTAGTAGTGTACAAAGCGTTGTGGACCGAACTTTTGAACGCGGTCAAGTGTCAAGAATTGCCCGTGCCCGCTTCGTCACAGGGAAAAGTATTTGTGGATGACTTTCCAAGACGATGACGTGCCCGGCGTCTTCCTCAGTGACTCTGGATAGCCGTGTAAGAAGTAGCTGATACCACCGTACTGGCGTACAAACAGAAAGGCGCAATTAATTGACTTATTAATTGCGCGTAATGAATTGATTAACGGGATCCACCATGCGACGCGCGCCAGAGTAGGACAACGTTTGCAACCAGGAAGCAACCTTCCGTTTCCTGCGTGCGGAAGTCCACGTTGGCATCGACAGTTCCCCACGTAGTCGCGGCCTGCACCGTCCTGCAGGACATCACCGCAGAGCGTCTTCTCCAGGTGCGCCTAGAGCGCCGCGGCGTGATCAGCCGGATCTAGAGCTCTACATCAGTCCACACATATCAACACAAGCTTGCGTTAATCTATCTCGTCATGTGATCTGTATCGCTTCCGACGCTGCTCCTGCTTCGTACGGCCTTGAATGATACGCTCATGTAGGAGTTTTGTACTGCCTGCTTGCTTTCGCAATGAACTGTAGTGCCGAGGAAGAAGTTAAGTTGGAAATCGTCTTTCCTGAGACGAACGTTGCATTTACCAGTTAGTTAATATATTTATTATGCCGGCAACGGCATCGAGGTATGGATGCATGCAACGGATATTCCACATTAACATGTGTAGATGTGAATAGGGGCTTATGCTTTTCCGCCTCGATGCATATACCGCTCGCTTCCTCGCTCCGTTGGTTGTGGATGGACTTAGGTGAACAAATCACCGCCTTGCCATACCCAGCTGGGTAGAAATATCTGAAATATGATCCAGAACCATACTCATTTCCTTGCATTTTCTCAGACTGGCATTAACTGTGTCTTCGCCACTATTATTCTTACTCACTGTGACCAGGTCCATGGAGGGGAGTTGCTTCTTACTCCAGGATGGCAAAGGTAATTTCAGCGTAGCTACCAATTTCCTTCAGCGGTTTCATAAACTTGGCAGCACCTCTCAGAAGTAAATAGTAAAATACCAAGGCTTTAGTAATTCGATTCCGATAGATGCATTCGTTGCTGGGGTAACGATATTGTGGTTTTGGACCAAAAAGTTTTCAATGTCCATAATCCAGACATGGTGTGAAAGTAGCAAACAAGTGCCATATATTGACTAATTTAGAAATAAATTTGTGATCTTTGTCACAATTTATTCGTAGAGCAATGATGATTCCTTTTTATTTCGCCGAAATGCAGACATCCTATATTTCTTGATATTGTTTCACTACCCGTAGAAGTAAAAATAGCTCTTTGGTTAGTGCATCTATGCGCTGAGGTTCGCTGTGCTATATGTGCAGACAATGTGCTCCTGAGCGACAAAATTCGGACATTTTCCAAAATGACCTTATACTGACCGAAATGTGAGAAATACCATTTGTGTCATAGTTGTACGATTAATTTCATGCCAGATTAGAATGTATGTTTTTGCTAGCCGATGCATATCTCCCTGGGTTACCATTCCTGTTTGTGTGAAGTGATTTTTTTTCGCTCCTGTGCGGTGTTTTTGCGGCCAAGTTGTTCTCTTCCCGAACTAGCTCAAAAGCAATTCTAGATCACCGACTTTCAGTTTGCGGCATATAATAAGAATCACTGGCTGATGACTACTGATTTGGTCACATATATCCGCAATAGTCTACAACTTTGACTTATATCGGCGTCATTTGTTCGGAAATGTTATGTTTGTAGCATTTTGATTAGGATAGCTGCTAGGACTATCAGTTATATACCAAAGATGTACAAAGAGTTTCCATAATGATTTCGTCTTAAAACGGAGTGCGCCACCTTTGAGCAGGGAACGATCCAGGATTTCATCAGGATGGGGGCACGCATTGTTGTGGGGCGAGTTTCGAGCCCCACAACAATGCGTGAACCCCCCAAAATCCCCGTACTCCGGCCATTAACTTTAAAGGTTCCTGTATGTGTTATGTTTCATACAGAAACCCATCTTATTCTGGGCAGCCATAGAAAACTAGGTGTGCTACGTACAGTGTGGGATCCTCAGGACAGATGAAAACAACCTGAGACCAATATGGTGGGGCCCTTGAACGATCGAAAGTACCCCATCAGGCTAACATATAGGGCTTGGGCCAGACCGCAGGACCCTTTGAGCAAATGGGAATAGCTTAAGATCGTTGTATGTAAATTAATGCCCCGATACGATCAAGAGTGTCCGGGCAGGTTAATGGAAAGAACCCTGACAAGAAAAAAGGGTACTCCTCAAATCATTTCAAAGGGAAAAAGCCCTAGATCAACGTAGAGGGCCCTTGAGCATCGGTGCGTTGCCATGTATTGGCCCCAGCAACTGGACCCCTGAGCAACCGAGTGTACCCCGGCATATGGGGGCCCCGGAAATAGCGTAAAGAGCCTCTCTGACCAATGTGAAGCGTTTGTAGGGGACCCTTGGTCGATTTTAAGTGTCTATGCACGTTAGCAGATGATGGGACTCTACTATGATTGGACCCTACATACAAATAGGAAGTGCCCAATACACAATGTGTAGAGCCGCCGAACAATCAAATGTACGCCAGCAGGTTAACGGGTGCCCCCCCCCCCCCCTACAAGAGCGTAGGGCCGTCCATTGAAATAAGAAATGTCCAAGACCCAATGAAGAAGGCCCGCAAACGATCGAGTGCGCCCGAGCAGATTAAGAGGTGGGACCCCGGACAAGAGCGTAGAGTCCTCCGGATGTGACAGGAATTGGAAAGGCGCCCAGACTGGTGGACGACCCGTGACCATATCGCAACTGTGCCGACGGGTTTACCGAAACCAACGTGAAGGGCTCCTAAGGAACTTAGAATGTCCCAGCAGTTGAACGTTTAGGGCCCCGGCTATATCGTACAGAGCCCTTCGGGTGAATGGGAAAAAATCCGTGGAAGGCCCCGATCGACAAGAATGCGCCGGCATGCGCGCAGAAAGCGCCCTGACAACAGTGCGGGACCCTCCGAACAAATGGAAAAATTTCAAGGGCAACGTGGAAGGCTCCTTAGCGATCGGATTTGCCCTGCATATGGACACATAGGGCCCCCAGGGACGGCGTAGGGCTTCTGGACAACGCGATGAGCCCAGGAATCTTTCAATCACCATCCTCTCAACCATTGATTTTTTTTTTGTTGGCTCGTGGGCCCTTAACTTTCACGTGCAATTGTGTTTGGTCGTCTGGAAGCCCTAAGACTTCCGATTTTGTTGCGTTTTGTGCTAAAAAAAAACTGCGTCTGTTCGGCGGGCTTTTGACGCCTTTGGAGCTTATGTGCCCCTTTGTGGTCCCAGGGGGTCATGGCCCCCATACCCCCTGTAGCCGCCCTACTTTTAGGGGATCTTTCAAAACTATTCTCACGTTAAACCTTTAGACCAGTGATGTCTAATAATAACGCCGAAGAATGCCGATACAGCACCTATGTATGAAAACAAATAATTGTTTATAATTTAGTGTCCAAATAACAGTGTTGTCGCGGCACTGAACTCTTACTTTCTTGTTAACTTCAGAGTTCATTTTTGGCCCGAATGATCTTGGCGCATGGGAAATACGGAAGTGCGATATGCAACGTTGCCTTGGAGACTGTGCACGGTAATCTAACTTCGATTTAGTTTAACAATGCCATGAAAGCTGGCATGATAATGGCCAGTTAACCCCACAGACCCGCAGAGCGCGGGCAAGAATAGTTAAAACAGTCCGTAACAAGTAACGACATCTGAATCTGCTGTTTGCAGTCGTCGGCTATTACATAGTGTAGGCATCACTGCTAAGCTCTTTTTACCCGCGCATCTCCGGGTTTCAGCCTTAAAAGTGGCACATGAATGGTTCAATTACTCGCATGAAGTTTTAGCCAGTGCGTTAATGGAAATATTGCTTTCATTGTGGTTAGCAGGGAGGCCAGTAATATGCATCCCATGATAGCGTCTACTTCAACTCGAAACTCTGGGCTTCCCGGAAGGAATTTGGGACATACTGGTACTAGCGATCAAATCATAGGCGCCTAATCTAACAATGAATGAAAAGTACATCGTATAGAAAAGTACATAGAAAAGTACTACACTCTGGTTTCATAATCCTCCCCCAGAGAATAGAGAATAGAGAAAAAGAGAAAAGAGAAAAGAGAATTTAACCAGAGAATATTTTTGAAAGATCCCCAAAAGTAGCTCGGCTACAGGGGGTATGGGGGGCCATGACAAATTGTTTTGGCAAACTGGGCTTGCTTCTACAGCATTTATGGTGGATTGCGCCGGGCAATGATGCATACAAACGCTCACCATGCGCAACATTTCTTAGCTACTCGCGAAGTATGACTTTTAGGACGGCAATGGTGGGAGCAAGATGCGATTTAGCCATGTTCTCTGCGCGGTGTTATACTGTACGGCAGCGTGTGCTAGTGGAATATTTAGCTGCCCCCCCCCCCCCCCACCAACGTGTCACGAGAATCACTGCTCCGATTTTGAGCCGGTAAACGGCAGTTACCAGTCACAACGTAGGCTTTCTTTAAAGTACTAAATATTCTGGAAGGGTGATAACATGGAAGAAAATTATCCAAAGTTCCGGCACATTTGTGCTGCCCCCCCCCCCCCCCCAACGTGTCACGAGAATCACTGCTCCGATTTTGAGCCGGTAAACGGCAGTTACCAGTCACAACGTAGGCTTTCTTTAAAGTACTAAATATTCTGGAAGGGTGATAACATGGAAGAAAATTATCCAAAGTTCCGGCACATTTGTGATGAGACTGTACTGTGTGTGTTATCCGATTTTGGTGCGGCTAAACGTGGTTTTAGGAGTACTGTACGACTCTGGAACATGTGAGCAGTTTGAAAACTTAAAAATCATAGTCGTACGGACGCAGTGCAAGCTGGGAGCGTTATTGAAAAGGGGATTTTAATGTTTTCACTTTGCTTTCTTACTATAATGGCGTGGCCGCAGAATATCTGTTAAGTATTATTTCATCACATCTTTAAATATGGACATGAATCATTTCGACGGTTTGCCTCTTCAAAGCATTTCCCAGGAAGGTAGTAACACAAACGAACCAACATTCTGTGATGATCTTACATTGGCACAAAAGAGAACAATGCACGCTCCTATTCTCGTTTAAACTCATACATCAGAGACTTACCGAGGTGTTTAAAGGAAATGACAGAGGTGAGTCCAGGGTAATAATAAGAAGGGTTTAAGACTTAAGAGTTTTAGTAAGATAGGTTCACCGATTTTCTATATCCCGTTTCGTCACGTCCTCAGTCTCTCCTTCCCTGCCGTTGAACTGCCCCTGCATACCAATTTAAAACATAGCGTATGCATACTTCATGTACCTGCTTTACTACAAGCATATAAAATGATCTAATGTGACAATGGCCAATCACTTGTAGGTTGGGGCGAACCGCTTTCGTACCTGTCGCATCCCATCTGTCCTACCTGGGTTCGCCTACTTCTCTGAGGTACTTCTCTGAGGTGTAGAAGCATAAAGGCAAATGACATATTGTGCTGTAAAAGACACGACATTTCACGGCCGCTTGCATCACTGCCATCATCCTGTAACTATTTTACGATACGTTTTTTTTCCTGCTCGGAAATCTTCTGTCAAGTCTTATATCTGATGCACGTTAGCAAACTTTGTACTTATATGTTTTATTGGAACGACCATTGACCCGTGAGTAGCTGAAAAAATGGTAAGCATCGCGTAGTTGTGGTACTCAACCCGAAGACGGCGACCTTCAGCGTATGACCTTCTAATATCAAGCCTTGGATCCGCCTTGGGCCGGATCTGGCCTCAAAACTGTTGCCACGACATGTAAACAAGCGTTTTCAATAAAAATAATTAAATTGGTGGGACTTGTGGCCAATCGTTTGGAGCAAATGACTAGAATGACCGGAATGACCGGAAAAGATGGGGGGGGGGGGGGGGAAAGAAGAGGATCATTATCTACTCACCCCCGCAGGAAAGTGGCTGAGATGCAGCTATCCTACTTTTGGCATAAACAGGATGAGCAAAACAAAAGGCACAATGATGTGCGCTGGTGCGCCTCGCTAGGGGCACGGCGCGTGGAAGTGGGAACACACATTTGTTTGGGTTCCATAAGATGCTTTTGGCTATCAAAGCGTGAAATCCTGCACAATTTGGAACCATGATGTACTATTTGCTTTCAGTGTGAAAGCCAGCACAATACTGTGGATCGAACGTTTTGGCAAGGCTGGTAGGCTTTATCTGAATGTCCTTTTACAAACCCAAGTTCTCTCCGATCCCCTCAAACATTAAATGACATTTCTAGAAGATCATTGATTTCATGTTACCTCAGGTGTCCCTTAATATGATGAACGCTTGGAGTAAATCCATATGCTGCTACATCCCACACAAATTTATCTTCCTTTCTAAGTTATCTCCGTTGCTGCCGTTAACATTTCGCCCCGTCAGTGCCTGGCTTGCCATTGGCCCGCTCTCGTCCCTGCTCCGCATGTACAGCATTGGTTGTTCCGCATGCACAGCATTGGTTGTTCCGCATGCATCGCTTCCGCAGCCGACCGGTGTTGCTGTTACATTCCGCAGCAGGCCCCTTGTTTTCAGACACCTGCGCACGCAGCCGCCGTCCGAGCGGTCGCTGCGACACCGGTTCATCCGACACTCGCTGTACGCGTGGGGCGTGCCGCTGGTGATGACCGGCCTGCTGGCGTTCTTCAACTACGCGCCCACCTCGGTCATCCCTGACGGCACCATCGTGCGGCCCGGCATCGGCGAGCGGAAATGCTTCCTCGCCAGTAAGTACCGGATTTCATGGCCCTGTTGCCAGCAGGAGTCAGGTACCATTGCCCAGTGCCCACTACGTGTCAGACTTCACTGCTGCGTCTGTACATGGAGATCGACCTCTGCATCCGCTCAAAACTCTCACCCCAGTGGGCTCGACGGACGTGGATCACTTCAGCCCAAGGCTGGAGGGTTTGCGATCAGAAATCCATTCAAAATACTGTAGGCCACGCAATGCGCAGCGTTTGGTCCGAGTCTTGCTTTCTTCTCGCATTCACAGATATGTTGACGACACGTACGTAATTGTTTATGTCGTACCGCATGTTGTATGTGCCAGCGCGTCTATCAATTCCAAATAGACGAGAATGCCAGCGCCTGATGTAGGCGGGCAATGAAATAGCTCACGGAGAAGCGATCACGAAATTCCAACATCGGCAAAGCCTGGCCATTTGAGTATTTCTCGCAGCCATGCCGGCGGTGCATATAAGCCCAACAGATGCCTTGCATAAGCCACAGCGAAGGCGCCGGTCCCATCTCCGTCAGTGGTGGTGCAGTCACTATCAGCCGTTCCCCGCGCGGAAGCGGTGCAGCCACTATCAGCCGGTCTTCCTGTGGAAAGCCTGCACCCGTCACCACGGCGGTGGCGGATGGCGGCTCTGGACGACATCCGCATTGCTCCGTTCGCTGAAACTCAGCCTGTGACTTTTCATTCAGCCTGCTGGGGGCATAGTGTTTGGCTCGCAGTGTCCGGGGTCAGACCGCGTCTCTTGGAACAGGCAGGATTGAAAACATCGCCGTTGTCAGCACTGCAATCCGGACGGCGGGATGATCTGGGCCCCTGTGGACCGGACACGCCACCCAGGGCTCCAGGTACCGGGTGTCGCGTGATTGCTGGGCTAAACCAATCTCGTGCCGGCGCAGGCGCGTCATTTGCAGGCGCAGGGAATACCCATCATCCCCCTGCCGCAACACGGGAGCCGGTCCGCGACAATGCTGATGTCAACAGAACCGCACAGTGGTGCCGGCTAACAGAGCCGCGCGGTGGCCGCGCGTTGGTGCCGGCTTATAGCAGGGAATGCCACGGCACGATTGAATAAACCTTTTGATGACAGGGTCTGGACTGTGTAACGGGTACAGTTGGTGGGGCGGATGTTAAACCGCTACTACTGCCGCTCTGCTAACCATCGCACTGGCGTGGGGGGGGGGAGGGGGTGCTCGCCCTACCGATGGCCGTTTGTGAAATATTTGAAGGGATTGTAGATATTTTGTCATGGATGTAGATGGAAGAAAGTACGTACCTGCACGCATACCAGTTCTAACCACCCCTCAGCTCCCATGGTTTCACTTCTTTGATAGCCTTATGTAGTATCAACCAGCTGCGTCAACTAGGTCCTTGCTACTTTCTTGGGCAAATCGGCAACCAACGAAGCGTTCATATCCCCGTTGCAATCAACGTAATTTCGAACAGGCATTGTTTAAAGCAGTATTCTGTTTCGGATTACGCGCTCTCCCGAATTCCCACTGATGACCGAAGAAAATGTCGCTTGTGCGCCTATCTTACGCATGATTCAAAGTTTCCACATTGAATCGTGTGCAATGAAACTGTTTAAGTTTCGTGATTATTGCAAATTTTGTCCTTGATAGAAAACGATTTTCTGCTGTTTGAAAATACGTGGGATGTGTGCCAACCCCGCCTATGGAGGCCAAAGAGAGAATGCTAGGGTGCACTAGCGCCGGTGGTGATTAAGAGGGCTGTGGCCGGGACTGATGGCATCGCCTGAACACCACATGTTCTTGGATCCACAAAGGGGGGTCAACGAGAAGAAGTCGCGGCGAGTGGCGTGTTCATAAAATAGAACATCATTTCAGATTAATAGTTGGGATGCAATGCAATTAATAGTAATACGTGGGGGACCATCTTGTAGCTCTCCTGGGTGTAACTCACCGCTTGAAAACTGAGGCAAGCGTTTCTCTGTTGATGCCGAGCATCCACAAACTCTGAAACATTGGGATGGCCTTTCCACAGTAAAAATCAGAAACAAGTCACCCTTCAGAAAACATTAAGAAGAGAAGGTGTGCTGGTTTATGCTATCTTAAACGACTGAAATTGGGGCCAGGAAACGTGGTGCATAGTAATAAGGTCAAATATATTTTGTTCAGGCGCCATTCGTTCGTTCGCTCAAAGACGGACACCAAATGCAGCGTGATGAGCCCAGCAGCAAAAGGGCAGAATATTCACCTCATTGCTAGTATATCGCAAACCAGTCTCGTGTACTGATGGAGGCACCGAGGATCGTTCAAAAAGGACAAATGCCGCGAGTGGGTCAGCAAGAGTTGTGCTCCGACCCATTGCCGAACGCATAACCGACATGGCCACAGTACTGCAATACTCCGGTCCACTTCGACCCGGCATCCACGGGTCTCTACCGAACCCAAACTTGCTGGAGCGGAATCTTGTCGACATGTCCCTTACGGCGCACCATAAAACTGTATAGAGCGGAGACGTGAGAACTGACATGTGGCACAGAGTAGCCGGAGCGATGCGGCAGGCAATGTCGAATACACCGCCGAAAGCCGGCATGACCATGGCTGGGCAGAGTGCGCTACCAGAAGGGAAACATCGACTTCACAATACTCACCGTTCACCCGCTGCTCCGCTTGCGTGCGTACTATGATGCGCAGAAGCACTTCGCTGCATGCCGAACTTCAGCGACCTCTGCAAAGATGACCATGTGTGGCATGCGTTGGCTACTTGGCCACAGAATACCGGAGTACTGCACTGTTCCACTGCAGAACATCCTCGTTGTGCAAGCTTAGATCCAAGGAGTGTCCCGTCCTTTCCGGATCATAGGAAAAATGCCCAAAGCCGGCTTAAGAGCAGCTCTTCGGGTATGCTAAGCTGGCGTAGGCGTTTTTCGCTCACCGGTTTTGGTCCCCTCCCTTATTCCGAAATTATGGGTGCGTCCTCGCCTGTTGTCCAGCGTTGCCAACGTGATATTAATTGTTTCCATTATACGTAAGTTGTGCCCGTTTGCCGGTCTGAGGTCATTGTCAGCGAGGAAAACGGTGACAAAACGGCCGAGATATATGGTGTTCGTTCTCACTCTATGTCGCGTTTCACTCCATCAATCTGAGAGCAGTTTGTGTACATGAAACCCTATTAGCCAGCGAACCAGCTGTTCAGATATAAGGCAACCTGTCTGCTTATAGCCAATTGAACCTCGTCTATGCCCCTCCCCCCACCATGAGCCAAGCAATTTTCATTAGATACCGCGAAGTTTCGCAGGAATTCGGTCAAAATTCGGAGGGGTTTGGGGAAAAACTTGATATTAATTAGCATTTGCGGTTTCGAAAGACAGATCGTTCAAACCGGATTTAGGTATTTAGTTGCATACAGACAAAACGCAAATTGTCTTCTTACGTTTTTAGATAAGATTTCAAGTAATTTCAATTCATGAAAACTATCTCAAGTTTTTGCTTGCCAGTTGAACGTTTTATTCATTTTCGTATGTTTTATTATCTTCAGATTGAAATTAATTGATCATTTGCGTGAAGTTACTTTGGTATTCATGACGCCATAATAACGTCATTCAAATCCTGTCATTCCATAAGCCATGCGGCGATCCAGGGCCAAAAATGTAGCTGTCGATTCGTTCATGTCTGGCGTGCGTGAGCATGATTTCCGGGTATAACGGCCGTCAACCGGCTTTCAATCAATGTTGTGCAAGGTACGATGACGTAATCACACAATGACTTATCGAGGAGCACATTTACTAAACAGGGAAAATGTGTCGCCTAGAGCATTCTTTTCTGCCTGGAGTTATACCATTATTCATGAGTTAGTTTGTTTCATCTTACAAGATGGTTGGTCCAATATCTTCAAATGCAAGACATTCTCTTTAAAGCTTTCAAGAGGAGGCAAAAGTGGTGGAAGGAGAAAGTAAGCAATAGGTCTATGATGGTGTTCTGATGATAACAGCATGCATATTCTATTTTCAGCCCCGGAGAGAGAGCTATATTACTTCTACATACCGATCTTCATCGTCACGGGAGTAAACATCATCTTCTTTATCGCCACGGCCTGGACGCTGTACAAAGCTGAGCAAAACTCCCGAATACTTCAGCGGAAGCGGACCGCCCGGGACAGGTGGGTAAAGCGTTCTCGTAATGTCGAGAGTTCTGACGGCAACATCCGGAGGGGGGGGGGGGAACAAAGTCTAGTATAAAATATGGTAACAACGACGCACATTTTACGACTAGCCATAGCGTTTCCATGTTAAAATGCTTTTCTTCAGGCCCACAGCTTTCTAAATCTTGAACACATTTACGCACAAAAAGCGCATAGAAATGAAGCTTGAACAGTTCTTGTTCAATTTCCGGGATCAAAAGTGTGTGCCATGGCACTCCTTCTCGAGCTATCAGGCGAGGCGTAGACCCGTGCGCGCGCCGCGATGTCCAGGTGTGGGATCGAACCACGTTGCCGCCAACTCTGCAGCAGAGTTGGGATGGAACACGGAGTGAATACGGTCCCTGGCTGGCAATAGAGATGTTGAGTGCAACGATATTCTGATTGTATATATATATATATATATATATATATATATATATATATATATATATATATCTTGTGTGACCTGAAGATGCAGCTGTTGCGGTGTGGAACATGCCGCGAGGTAGTGCAAGAAATACACCTTAGGTCTTTTTATTTCCATGATATCTACTTCACAAGTGTCATATAGCCGCCAGGCTACAGGCAATAGCCTATGGCTGTGGTTTATACCATTACTGTGCCTGACGCATGGAACCTATCGCGACGGTAGCGGTCCAAAGCTGGCCGTCCCCAACGCGGCCAGAGGTAGGACCAAACACTGTGTTAGGTGCTTAAGTTGTGATGCTGACGGCCACTGCTGTGCAGGGCCGGCATTGCCGCCTCAGAACCAGCACAGCAACGATGGCGCAGTAACATTGTAAGCATCTCTGGTTGGAAAGCAGTTGTTGTTGTGCTTAAAGCAGTTGTGCTTAAAGGAAGGGTGGTAAACATTTTAACGAAAAGTGACCTGACGGGGGGGGGCACAGTGAACCTGATGTGTAGGACATTGAAACACTTCTCTGATTGATCCTGAAGAGTTTGAACACCTCACAGACCCATGGCCTAAGTAACCATGCTCCCAAAAATTATATGCAGAAAGGTTTTCTGGTATAAGGATAATACAGACATCACATCAATGGCTACACCGAGTAACTGAACCTGAAAAGCTAGCTTTCATGTCACAAAACGTGTACGATAAACATTTGGAGCTTTAATATGATGACACATTTTTTTTCCTCACCAAGCTTTGTAATTTATAACTTAAACTGCCATCCACTGGTCCCAGGGTAGAGAAAGTACACCAAAGCAGCTGGCGTGGAATGGGCAGCTTGGACGCACTTAGAAGATGCATCATTATCAGAAACATATGCAGCATTGGCTCAGGGTAATAATGACACTGAATGGACCTTAGATTCCCCCGAACCATGCCCAAGCTATGCACATTCTTATTCAAATGCAACATGCAGTGTTGATATAATATTTATGTACCATATTGCACTCAACATTTACTTATATCGTTACAAGGAAATTGGGTTGATATAAATTATGCAATGATGTGTAATAGGTACAATGCTGAATATTGGGTTACAGCTACACATCCAGAATATTGCAATATTTGACATAAAACTTCAATTTCTACAAATGTTGCAATTCTCAAATCCTCCCTTGCACAAGCAACAATTGCCACAACAAAGTTGTTAGCCCTATATCCTAAATGATCCCATTATTTCAGCGCAAGCCTTAGCATAAATCAAAAAGAGGCTTTGTCCTGCTGACCAACTGTAAATTGTAGGTTCAACACAAAGCATTGCACCCAGAAACTACAACATTGTTGCTTGCATTGGATACATTTGCCAGGCACAGTTTTTTCATTTACTGAGTTCAATACCAGGTCTTAGGCTGCATGCAGTTGCATGACACAATTGCATTTTGTGATGGTGGCCTCCCTCAACAATATTGAAATGCAATAGCAAATGTTGGGTGCTTTTCTCATGTTGTTGCCAAATATTACAAAAAGGCTATGGTAAGAGAGACTATGGTAAGGGTGACTGGTAAAGGTGGTATGGTAAAGGTGAAAAATACTATGTTAAAG